GATTCACTTGATCCATTGCACAACTTCTTGAGAGCTAGTAGTTCAATTTAGGCCTTGGCTTTTCCTACAGAGCTTTCCTGAGGTTGAAGCAGAACACAGAATATTGCAAGCGAGGAATTAAATTGGGCCACTGGGAAACTCCCTAGATGCGAGAAGCAGGTGTGCTGGCTAAAATTAAAAGGTGGGAGTTTTCTGACCGGCACAATCGGGGGGTTTTCTTTGGGGGTTTTGGGTAGGTTCCTGAGCATTCAGCTCAACTATTGTTGTTTTAGGCAGCTTGGAAGGAGCAGCTATCTTCCAACACTCCCCAGATATTTCTTGCATTGCTAAAGCTCAAGGTTTCCTATCCCTGTGCATTTTCATCATGCTAGCGTGCATTGAACTTGTACTTAATATGCTGTGTATGTTTCCTGTGTGGGTGTGTTCGCTGGTAATATTCGCCAGACTCGCCGTTAAATCATTTCCCTTCAGAGGCACGTTGTCAAGCTCAGGAGAAATTGACGCGCTCGTTTTGGGGCACGGAACACTTTGCTTTCACATCAAACACACAATTAAATACACAGACATCGCTGCGCAGCCGATGAGTTAAAAACGGAAACCGGAGCTAGATAAGACTTTTGAGGTTTGAAGGGAACGTTCCTGTTCTTGAGAACCTTTTGCAGAGACCATGCAGAAGAAAACATTACAGTGTTGGATGGAGAATGCAACCAAAGTATAACACTGACCTTTAGGTTTCTGGACACTTTGCAAATGATATTATTGTTTGTTGACATTGGCAGGTTTAACTTTTGTGAATTTTGAGGGTCTGCAGATCCTCTAGTTCTTCCACTTTGACTTGAGGGTCAACCTTCACTGGAGGCTGACCCTAACTTCACGATGGAGGACCTAGAGGGGTTCTGCATGGGAAGCTTGGCCCAATTCCTTTGTTGGTGGGGTTCAGACTCTGGAGGATGGTGCTTACCTCATTTCTAAGCCGAAGAGCCAGTATTGTCCGTAGACACCTCTAAGGTCATGTGGCCAGCATGACTGCATGTAGCGCCATTACCTTCCTGCCATTACCTATCAATGTACTCACATTTGCATGCTAGGTTGGCAGAAGCTGGGCCTAACAGCAGGAGCTCACCCTGCTCCCCGGACCTAGAGATCCCTAGAGGTGTCCTTCAAAGCAGCTCTGTGGTCAACACATTTGCAGAATTGTACTATTAAGGAATGTCTAGTGTCTTCCAGTGCAGTTCTATGGTCCATTTATGAAAGGACCTAGAGCAGCATTTCTCAACCTGGGGGTTGGGACCTCTGGGGGGGGAGGTCGCGAGTAGGATGTCAGAGGGGTTGCCAAAGACCATCAGAAAGCACAGGTCATGGAGGTCTGTGTGGGAAGTTTGGCCCAATTCTATCTTTGGTGGGGTTCAGAATGCTCTTTGAGTGTAGGTGAACTAGAAATCCCAGCAACTACAACTCCCAAATGTCAAGGTCTATTTTCCCCAAACTCCACCTGTGTTCACATTTAGGTATGTTGAGTATCAGTGTCAAGTTTGGTCTGCATCCATCACTGTCTGAGTCCATAGTGCTCTCTGGATGTAGGTGAACTACAACTCCAAAACTCAAGGCCAATGCCCACCAAACCCTTCCAGTATTTTCTGTTGGACATGGGAGTTCTGTGTGCCAACTTTAGTTAAATTCCATCATTGGCAGATTTCAGAATTTATTATTTATTTACAGTATTTATATCCCACCCTTCTCACTCCGCAGGGGACTCAGGTCGGATTACAGTGTACACACACGGCAAACATTCAGTGCCAAAGACACACAACAGATATAGACAGACAGTCAGAGGCTATTTAACTTTTTCTGGCTGCCAGGGAAGCTATTGACATTGGCAGGTTTAACTTTTGTGAATTTCGATTGTCTGCAGATTCTCTAGTTCTTCCACTTTGACTTGAAGGTCAACCTTCACTGAGGCTAACCCTAATGTCACGATGGAGGACCTAGAGGTCCATAGAAAGAACACTTATCTATGCATTTGAAGGTTCTCCAGTGCAATTCTGTGGTCCTCTTCCAGCAGAAATTGGCCAAAGGGTTGCACTGGAGGACCCCCAGATGCCTACAGAGAATGGTTCTCTAGGCGTTTGTAGGTCCTCCAGTGTGATTCTCTAGTCAACCTCTTCCAGAAGTATACTGTTGAGGAATTTTGGATTTTGGTGTGCAGTTGTTTGTTCAATCCTTAGCAGAAGAGTACTGTTGAGGCCTCTCTAGGTCCTCCAGTGTGATTCAGTGATCAACCTATGCCAGTGGTGGACTGTTGAGGAACCTCTAGGTCAGTGGCCTTCAACTCCTAGAAATTCTAACACTTGGTAAACTGGTTGGGATTCTAACACTTGGCTAGGCTTAACAGTCAGGTACTCAATCCACTATGACACAAATCATTTTGATCATATTCCCTCCTTGTTCTTTGATTGCTAACGGTGTTGTCCATAGAAACCTCCAAGGTCATGTGGCCAGCATGACTGCATGGAGCACCATTACCTTCCTGCCATTACCTATTGATCTACTCACATTTGCATGCTAGGTTGGAAGAAGCTGGACCTAACAGCGGGAGCTCACCCTGTTCTCTGGATTCGAACCACCAACCTTTCAGTCAGCAAGTTGAGCACCTCAGTGGTTTAACTTGCTGTGGTCAACCTCTGGCCAAAGGTGAGCATAGGCTTGCTCTGGAGGACCTAGAGATCCCATTCTGCAAATGCTCAACACATTTGCAGAATTTTACTATTGAGGAACGTCTAGTGTTTTCCAGTACAGTTCTGTGGTCAGTTTATGAAAGGGCCTAGAGATTCCTCAAGAATATATATTCCTCTGGCCATTTGTAGGTCCTCCAGCATGATATTGTGACCTGGAGGTTCCTAATTTCTTCTCAATCAACAATAACAACAACACATTTTCAATGTTTGCATTTTCGTGGGGATTCCATTGTATGTTTGCAAGAAAGCCTCTCCAGATCCTTGAGGGCGACTTGACTCGCTTTCTCATTGGGAGCTTGAGATTCCTGGGGATTTGCATCTTGCCCTGCCTTTGTATGCAAGGACTCATTTATATGCAAATGCCTGCTTCCGAAGGGTGGCAAGAGGATGCTCGCTCCCCCTTTTACCTCTCTTCGGATGGAGGCGGGGTTCGAATGCTCTTGCATTGAGGTGCTTTGTGCATCTTCCTCTTTGGTGAGACATGACTATCCATGTCAAGAAATGAGAAGCGACAAAAGACCGTGCGCCGACCCTTCCTCTCCAGCGTCTCTCCAACAATCAATGGCTTCAAAGGAAGACTGCTCATTGGGTTGCTGTGAGTTTTTCGGGGTGTATGTCCATCTTCCAGTAATATTTTCTCTTGACCATGGCCATGTTCCAGGAGTATTCTCTCCCACGTTTCATCTGTATCTGTGGCTAGTGGCATCTTTAGAGGGTTGTGAGATCTGTAGGAGATGAGGCAAGTGGAATATCTATCTAGCTATCTATCTATCTAGCTATCTATCTATCTTATCTATCTATCTATCTATCTATCTATCTATCTATCTATCTATCTTATCTATCTATCTATCTATCTGTGGAATAATGTCCAAGATGGGGGGAAAAGAAATGGTGCAATTAGCATTGAGTTGCCTTGCAGCTGCAAAGCCTTGCTGTTGTTACCTGGAGGCATTCTTTGTTTGGGTAATGTTAACTTGCAATGGATTGTTTGCTGTCTGGAGTTCCCCTGCTTCTGTTGGAGTTCAGCCTGTGATTGGGTTTCAAGATCAAGGTGCTTTGGAGGTGGGGAATGAGGTCAACGAGGGTCAAAATGGCAATGCAAAGAATGCAGAGAGTGACATAGAGACGTCGGTTCAAAGTGTAGTTTCCCATGAGAATGTTCCTACAGGGTATAGGGATGAGAGTTTACTCCCTGAATTGCTCCCAGGGAGTTCCCAGGATTTGGGGCTTGAAAACAACTTGGCACCTGGAGAAACTAATGAGCGTATAGACCAGCGTTTCTCAACCTGGGGGTCGGGACCCCTGGGGGAGGGTCACGAGGGGATGTCAGAGGGGTTGCACCGGGATTGTGGCGCAGCTGGCTGAGTGTCAGCTGCATTAAGATCACTCTGACCAAAAGGTCATGCGTTCGAAGCCAGCCCGGGTTGGAGTGGGTTTCCAACCAATTGTGTGTAGCCTGTTGTCGACCTTTGCAACCCGAAAGACAGTTGCATCTGTCAAGTAGGAAAATAAGGTACCACCTTAAAGTGTGGGGAGGCTAAATTAATTGATTTATGAGGCCATAAAGAAGACTCCAGCAAAGCATTCCAGCGGGGAAGCATGCGGGGAATGCGGAAGTGCTTCATCAGCGTCGCAGATGGACGATGAAAGCGACAGCTCCCCTGGCGGCCAGAAAAAGTTAAATAGCCTCTGTGTATGTCTGTATATGTTTGTATGTCAAAATTGGCATTGAATGTTTGCCATATATGTGTACACTGTAATCCGCCCTGAGTCCCCTGCGGGGTGAGAAGGGCGGAATATAAAAGCTGTAAATAAATAAAATAAATAATATTGCCTAATACCATCAGAAAACACAGTATTTTTCTGTTAATTGTGGGGGTTCTGCATGGGAAGCTTGGCCCAATTCCCTTGTTGGTGGGGTTCAGAATGCTCTGTGATTTTAGGTGAACTCTAAATCCCAGCAACTTCAACTCCCAAATGTCAAGCTCTATTTTCCCCAAATTCTGTTGAAATTGTCCTTTCTGTTGAAATTGTCCACGTGCTTCTTGTGGATTTCAATGGCTTATCTGTGTAGTCGGACATGGTGGTTGGGAGAGTGGTCCAGCATTTCTGTCCTCTCAAATACTATGTTCTTGCAGCTCTTCTGATGCCTGTCGTAGAATGAATACCCAATTGGCCTGTGGAGCCCACTTGAGGTGGTTCAGTTCACCTTGGAGAAGATGGAGCTCACGGATCCTTCTCATTGCCGTATCTTCTCTTTTGCAGGAATCTAGAAAACGTCCAAGCTGAACGGCCCCCGGTTTTCGTCCACGAAGTGGTCAGCTTGTTGTCGGCTTATTCAAAAAAGGTACCTGCAGATTTCCTCCACTTTGCCGTTGGGTTGGGGGACTTCACATTTGCATTCCATTGTTTAGGAGGCCCTAGAACTGTGTTTCTCAACCTCCCTAATGCCGCGACCCCTTAATACAGTTCCTCATGTTGTGGTGACCCCCAACCATAAAATTATTTTCGTTGCTACTTCATAACTGTAATTCTGCTACTGTTATGAATCGTAATGTAAATATCTGATATGCAGGATGTATTTTCATTCACTGGACCAAATTTGGCACAAGTACCCGATATGCCCCAAATTTGAATACTGGTGGGGTTGGGGGGGGGTGATTTTGTCATTTGGGAGTTGTAGTTGCTGGGATTTATAGTTCACCTACAATCAAAGAGCATTCTGAACTCCACCAATGATGGAATTGAACCAAACTTGGCACACAGAACTTCCACGACCAAGAGAAAATACTGGAAGGTTTTGGTGGGCACTGACCTTTTAATTTTGGAGCTGTAGTTCATCTACATCCAGAGACCACTGTGGACTCAATGAAGGATCTGGACCAAACTTGGCACAGATACTCCATATGCCAAAATTTGAACACAAGATGGAATTTGGGGAAAATAGCCTTGACATTTGGGAGTTGTAGTTGCTGGGATTTATAGTTCACCTACAATCACAGAGCATTCTGAACCCCATCAAGAATAGAATTTTGGAGTTGTAGTTCACCTATATCCAGAGACCACTGTGGACTCAAACAATAATGGATCTGGACCAAACTTGGCACGAATACACAATATGCCCATATGTAAACAATGGTGGAGTTTGGGGAAGATAGACCTTGACATTTGGGAGTTGTAGTTGCTGGGATTTATAGTTCACCTACAATCACACAGCATTCTGA